CAAAAGGAAGACTAAAGTGGAGATGTAAACTAAGCAATCTCACCCTGCTCACCCAGGGCAAAGGTTCTGGGCACCTGCTCTTGATCCCTGTCCCCAGTACCTGTCTGTCTGGTCAATCCTGGCTTCTGGTCCTGGAACTGGGCCATGCAATATGTCCTTGCTTAGGTCCAAGCTGGGTCTGTGTTTCCAGTGAGTCTCTGGGCCTGCTTCCTGGCTGCTTCACCTCTGGTTCCAGGGCCTGTTCCCAAAGTATGCAACAGGTTGTCAGTGTCTGGATCAGCAGAAGAACCTGACTGGACTCTCATGGTCTTGGGAGTCACCTACACACCTGCACACTTTACAGGACTCACCTGGGCCTTTGGGTCTTCCCTCGGTGCCTTGTGGTCCCAGATCATCCCTGTGCATGTCACCAGGTGCTTTGGTGGACACCTTGGTCTTCTGACTTACATCTGCTTTGATTCTCCTAGGCCTCCCTTTGCATAGACAGCTCATTCCAAGACAGTCTAGAACATTCCTGAGTGTCCCAGGGGGTGTGATCACTTAAGGATGACCAGGCATTCAATAGGATTTTATAAGGATGTCCTTTAAAAAGCCCCATTCCCCCTCCCATGAGCCACCTGAGGCCTGGAAGTCACCAAGATCTTCACAGGTTTCCATCCTGGCAGACTCCAGAGAAAGTCAGCTGGCTTCTAGAGAAATAGCTGACTCATCCTGTGGTTTTGGCACAATTTTCCAAACTCGCATTTATAGGAACCACCCTTAGAAGCAGAGTCGCTGTGTGCCAAGTTTCGTGTGCAGCAGGGCTGTGCACACGTGCCTCCCACCCGTGTTAGCAGGTCAGCCTTTAATCTGAGGCGGGCTTTTGAACCTTGCTTTGAGTGGGATTTCTGGAGAGGCAGGCATCGTTTCCTTCAAAGCCTGCCAAGGATAGCAGAGAAAGGACTCTGGAGGCCTTTGCGTGGGTGGTGTCAAGGCAGGTGGTGAGGGAAGCTTCCCGTGTTTCGGTGAGACAAGTGTGTCCAGGCATAAAGAAGATGGATACTGTGGTGAGTGGGATGCCAGCATTCCCTCCAGATTCTGGGACTCTGCCCAAGCCTGGAGTGATGGAGCTCATGGGGCAGAAAAAGACAGAGAGGCTAAGAGCTTTCCTCTGCTCAACTGGACAGTCACAGAGGGATGAGAGCAGAGGGAAGCACTGAGTAGGGTGTGTGAACACATACCTCTAATCCCAGCACTGGGGTGGGGGGAGCTGCCAGAGGACCACCAGAAGGGCTATGCTAGCCAGGATGCATAGACAAACAAACAAAAAACAGAGATAAAGGAAATGAGGCTTGGGGACTGGATCACTGAGTAAAGAGCTTGCTGTACAACCGTGAAGACCCGAGTTCAGATCCTAAGAGCTATATAAAAAGCTTGGCATGGTGGCATGGGGGTGGTGGAAAGACAAGGATCCTGGGGCTTGCTGCCCAGCCAGTCTAGCCAAATATTGATCTCCAGGTTCAGTGAGAAACCTTGTCCCAAAAAAAGGAAGTGGAGAGGGATCATGTGCCCCATGTGTGCACACACTCACACACATGCGCACACATGCGTGCACCACACACATACATGCAAAGACAATAGAATTTTGAGACTCAATGAAGTTACAACAGGAAATGCATACACAGGAGAGCATGGATTCTGGTAGGTGTGCCAGGTTCAAAGTTAAATATTCCCACTTTTAAAAAAAAATCCCCTAAAACTTACCACAGGGAACCAGGGCTGTAGCTCAGTTTGTAGAGCTCTTGTCTAGCAGGCATGAGACTGTGGGTTTTATCCACAGCGCGGCATAAATGAGGGTGGGGTGTGTACACACTTAAATAATCCTAGCAGTGAGGAGGTGGAGGCAGGATGGAGATCATTCTCTGCTTCAGTGAGTACAAGGTGAGCCTGGGCTACATGAGACCCTAAATCAAATTTAAAAAACAAAAATAAAATACACATGTCTCATTTGGTCCAGTTTGTGTTTGGTATACTTACAGGGAGAGAATATTCTAGAAGGTTTTTCTGGGAGCTTTGAGATGGTGCTAGACACCTTCATAAGGGATTCTGCGTTCTCTTTACCAACTGATGGTGAGCAGGGAGCCTGTTTCTACAACCCGAACACCAGTTCAAAAGTCTATTTGCAAAATTCACCTTTCGCAACTCCTTTTACACCTCAGACAATCCCTAGAAACCCAAACCTCCTGCTCATATTTATTTTCTCACGCCTTTGTGTAACTGTTCGAGGCAGGAGTTTTGGTCCTTGGCCCTTGTGCTCTGTCCCCATGGCCGGCCTGTTGATTTTGACTAAATTATGACTGAGCAATTCATCTGGTCATCTCAAAAACTCATTAAAATCCAGTTTACCCGAGTTTTAGTTGTAACACAATCCAGTTGCTTTGTTGAACTTATTTCACTAGGGTAGGGGTGTCAGGAAGAGCAAGCTGTGACTTTATGATTAATTGCTGGAAATGGTTGGGAGTTTCTTTCCCACCTCTAACGTTTCTCTTCTTTGTGTTAAGATCAAATCCAAGCCAGAATTTCTGAGGAATGAGGCCATTCCTGTGTGATATGGCAACTCTTCCACAGAACCGCTGGGGACCTTCCTGGGACACATGAGTTTGTCAGTGGTATGCTCAAGACAGTGCTTCACAAGTGTGGCCTCCAATGAGGTGCTTTCACAGGGCCCTGTCTTCGTTGCCTGGACCATAGAACAGGACCAGCAGAAACAACAGAGGCTCAGGCCATACGTCTCATTTGGTCTAGTTTGTGTTTGGTATACTTACAGGGAGAGAATATTCTAGAAGGTTTTTCTGGGAGCTTTGAGATGGTGCTAGACACCTTCATAAGGGATTCTGCGTTCTCTTTACCAACTGATGGTGAGCAGGGAGCCTGTTTCTACAACCCGAACACCAGTTCAAAAGTCTATTTGCAAAATTCACCTTTCGCAACTCCTTTTACACCTCAGACAATCCCTAGAAACCCAAACCTCCTGCTCATATTTATTTTCTCACGCCTTTGTGTAACTGTTCGAGGCAGGAGTTTTGGTCCTTGGCCCTTGTGCTCTGTCCCCATAGCCGGCCTGTTGATTTTGACTAAATTATGACTGAGTAATTCATCTGGTCATCTCAAAAACTCATTAAAATCCAGTTTGCCCGAGTTTTAGTTGTAACACAATCCAGTTGCTTTGTTGAACTTATTTCACTAGGGTAGGGGTGTCAGGAAGAGCAAGCTGTGACTTTATGATTAATTGCTGGAAATGGTTGGGAGTTTCTTTCCCACCTCTAACGTTTCTCTTCTTTGTGTTAAGATCAAATCCAAGCCAGCATTTCTGAGGAACGAGGCCATTCCTGTGTGATATGGCAACTCTTCCACAGAACTGCTGGGGACCTTCCTGGGACACATGAGTTTGTCAGTTTGTCCTCCCCAGCACCTTCATTTTTTGTAGCAGCTCCACGTCTCAGACAAACATCTCCCCAGAAAGGCTTGCCAGGCAGTATCTTGGGATCATCTCTGGCCTTCCAGCCTAGCACCCACCCTGCCTGGTCCATTCTGATTATCACAATCCTATCTCTTTGGATTCATGAAGATATCAAATATAGGCCCTACATAGGGGTACAGTTCAATCCTGATGATTGCCACTCCCCAGGCCTTCATTTATATAGAGTAGATGAAGAGAGGAGCCCTTCAGGTCCCCAGGAGACCCTGGGAAGGGCTTTATTGTGGCCCTTTGAGCCAAACAATGAAGGACATTCCAGGAGACCAAACACACTCCAACTGCATTCATGACTTGAAGACCCAGCATGCTACCACCACCTGTGGCTGTCACATTGCACTCTCTGAACAAAGTGCCCCACCATCTACGTAGCCTATAGGAGAAGGGACAGGATGTCTACCCATACAGTAAGTCTCTTTTTGGTTCCGTTGGATTTCTACTCTTGCTGTGTGACAAGAGTAACAGTCAAGACTGGAGGGCTCTGTTCTCTGCACTTGGCGTAATAAGATGGCTTTTTACACAACAATTACTAGTGCTTGGTACCCATTACCTAAGGAACTTGCTAGATACAGGACCTCTGCTGTTGCTGCTACCTCCTCAGGCTCCCTCCTCCATTCTCCTAGATGGAAACATCTCTCAGAGTGAGCCTCAGCTCCCTTCCACCTGTGGCTCCACCCATTGTCTCCCTCTGAGCCCCAAACACTGGCATCCATCGGTCCAGCTCCACCCATTGTCTCCCTCTGAGCCCCAAACACTGGCATCCATCGGTCAAGCTCATTGCCTTCCCTCCCGTCCTCTGGATAGCAGCCTGTGCAGTTCCTGGTTCACCCAGTCTGGAACCCTGTAGCTCCTCCGTCACTCAGGGAGCTGCTTCCTGCCACCTCCACCCAGCACCTTGTCCATCCCCATGACCCCTGCCTTAGGTGGAGTCCTTCAGTTGTTCCCACTGGATGGCTACCAGGCCTGCCTCCACTGAGGACAGACTATACTTCACATAGTCTAGCACACACGAAATCAAAGCTCTCCCTTTCCCATTTCCAGGTTAGTCTCTCTCTTTCCCTTCTCAGTGTATTCATATACTGTTTAAATTTACTCAACAGGGTTCTAATCTCTCTTCTGAATTCTTTGTCTGGCGGTTCTTCTAGGTCATTTTTACTAGGAGCTTATGCTGGCTAGTGCTGTTAACTCGACACCAGCTAGAGTCATTCGGGTAGAGGCAACTTCAGGTGAGATAATGTCCCCACCACACTGGCCTGTGCACAAGGCTGTGAGGCACTTCCTCAATTGATGATTGGTGTGAAAGAGCCCAGCTCACTGTGGGTGGTGCCACCCTTGGGCAGGTGGTCCTGGGTGCTGGAAGAAAGCAGGTTGAGTAAGCCACAAGGAGCAAGCCAGTGAGCAGCAGCACCCCTCCATGGTCTCTGCTTTAGTTTTTGCCTCCAGGTTCCTGCCCTGACTTCCCTCAGTGATGGAATATAAGCCGCAAGATGAAATAAACCCTTTCCTCCCAAAGTTGCTTTTGCTCATGGTGTTTACCCCAGCAATAGAAACCTTAAGAGAGGGCTGTTATTACAGAACTAGTCATTTGTGGGGGAGACCTGTGGTCTTGATTTTTTTCTGGGTGTTTCTGTTTCTACACTAGATCTTGCCCATCTGGGGTTCTTTGTTGGTTGAGTTTTGTTCAGGTTACTTTTCTTCTTTTAGCATCAGTAGGTACACTCACTGTTCAGAGAGGACTCTCAGTGGATTGAGATGCTGTTTTCCTCTGTGGGGCCGAAGGAGGAAGCTTAACCAGTCTTTCATGGCTTTTAGTACCATTTGCCTGAAGAATCAACCAAAGCCTGTATGTTCAAGGCTATGCTGGCCTCTTGGACACCAAACCAAAGGCCCCTTCTTCACCTCCTCCATCTGCACCCCAAGACCTCATATGATATGCTATCTTACTAGGTTTCTTGCCCTCCTTGCTATTGCTTGGATGTTTACATCTGTCTGAGTGTTTATATAGCTGCCATAAAACACTGTAGCCAAAACCAATTTAGGGAGGAAAAAGTTCCTTTCAGCTTACAACTTTCAGGTCACACTCTGTCGTTGAAGGAAGTCAGGGAAGGAACTCAAGAGAGAAACCTGGAGGCAGAATAGAGGTCATGGAGAGGTGCTGCTCACTGGTTTGCTCCCCACTGCTTGCTCAGTCTGCTTTCTTTCTGCATCCACCAGCCAGGGATGGCACCAGCCACAGTGACCTGGGTCTTCCAACATCAATCACAAATCAAGAACATGCCCCCACAGTGTCACTTATAGGCCAATCTTGTGGGGACATTTCCTCAATGTGGGTCCCTCTTCTCAGATAACTCTGGCTCATTTCAAGTTCACAAAAATAAGTAAGCAAATAAATAAATAGAATAAAATCCAAACAGGACAGGAGCCCTTTACTAAAGTTGTGCCTTGAAAACATCACCCACAAAGTAGTGTGACCATTGTGAGATGACCAAGTTCTGATGGTGCAGTGACCGTGCATGGGGTTGGTGGCCTAACCACACAGACCCCAGAGCATTCTCTTGTCCCTTTCAACCTCCTTCAGTCCCTGACCCTCTTCAACCTTTCTCAACTCTCTCATCCTTCCTGCCATGTGAGGAAAATGGAGAGATGCTTCCCATGATGCCACAATAAAACATCCCCTACCTTGGTCTTGAACTTTTAGCAAGATTTATAAGAAATAAACTTCTGTTGTTCCCAAGCCACTAATCTTTGGAGTTCTAAGAGGACAAAGACACCCCTGCTGGGATTTTCTCTTCTTGGTGTCCATTCTCTTCTTGGTGTTGGTCCTGTGGCCCACATAAGGATTGAAATATATATATATATATATATATATATATATATATATATATATGTATATATATGTATATCACATCACCTTGAATTATTGGATAAGTTCACCTAGTTGACATGAAACCATGACCTGCTAGGAGCAACAGTTAGACTTTTTGGGAATCATAACCCATTACACATTCCACTAGATTCCAGGCAGGCACATCCAATCAGGTGGACATCTCTTCCAGAGATGATGAAATCTTTGGAGGGGACAGTTGACAGCATCCTGTGTGCATGGAGTGTTCTACTTTGAAACCTATCCTCCTGTCAGACACCCTATCTTAAGGTTGTTTGCAAACACCTTGGAAGAAACTCAAGGAACGTCTGGTGAACTTGACACTTCCTTGAAGCTAGAACGCTTGACATGGGTTTTAACAAAAGGGACCAGAAAATAGAGAGTACAGTGCTAACCTTTGTTCCCTGGCCCTGGGTGCAGTTAACCATGCGTGGGACTTGCTGACTGCTCAGGATACCTGTCCTTGCTGGTGAAATAGGTTTCAGACCACATTCTATGGGAAGCAAGATGTCAGGCGGTTTCCATCCCCACTCATACTCCTTCTGGAAGGTTCTTATACAGATTTCTAGCTTACCTCTGTTGCTCATTGCTTGTTTGTAAGTCTCCTCTTCTCCATCCAGAAAACGTGAGATGTCACATTTCCTTTCTGAAGTTTTGTTATTTACAGCTAGCCCTCGGCTGTGATGTTTACACCAGTAAATCTTCCTGTCTTCTTGTGTACACTGCCAAATCCCTCCACCCCCAAATAATCCAACCCCAAAAGCTGCATCAGAATTTAATAACAGTGATCATAAATCAAAGCGAAGGTTTTATCCTTTCATTTCGCATTCGACATCACAGCTAAATGAGCAACCCAATGCACACAGGACCCATCAAGCAGGGGGAAAGCTTCCTTAATCAAAGGCGTATTTCATTTCTGAAAAATTCATCAGAATGAGTTTGGCGCAACTGCACGTTTTGAACCTGGCAGCTGCACATCTGGAAACCCGCTCCCCTCCCTCATTATCTTCAGGAATACAAGTGGGTTTGATTTGCATGCGTAAATCGGCCCCTTAGTCCCTTATCTCCTGTGCCATGTGAATGAATTCCTATGATCCAAGGCTACAATTACTCATGTGGATTAAGAATTGCTGCAATATGCAAATGATGTCCGTGACCCAGAAGCTGCTGGAAACCCATAGATCAAGCACTGGAAATGTTTCATACAGCCCTGGTGTCTCCCCAGGTCCTGCCTGCTGCCTAAGGGTACAGCTTCCCAGAGCCACTAGATTTAGAGGTTCTAGGGATGTTGCTGAGGTCTGCCCTCGCTGGTGATATCCTATCCAGAGCCACAGCTGAAACACAACTTCCAGTCCTGATGCCCTCTTAGCCTGGCTCACTCCTTCCAATCTACCCATCACTGTACCTCTTATGTAATGGGCCCTTATGGATGCTCTTGCCAAGTCCGTTTATGCCCATGGTTAATGCAGCCACCAATCAAGGAAAGAACTCATCATCTATAATGGCCTTGTCCTTTCTATTCACAATATCCAATATGCACCAAACAATGGGTGAGTTTGAGTAGCTTGGTAGTCTTCAACATCCTCCAAGAGCAGGACTGTAGACATCCACAATGACTGTCCTCAGTGGACAACAGCTATGTCCACTACAGTGATATCCCGTGGGGCTGCTGAGTGCATACAAAAGCTGAAGATATGTGTATGCTTGACTCCATTCAAGCAGAGACAGGAGTCAGGGCAATGCCTTGCACCCCCAGATCTCAGTTTCCTATTTTAAATGGTAATATTTTCTAATATTTTCTGGTATGTTTAGTCCCACAGACTGCTGTGAGAAAGGACAACAAAACACACACACACACACACACACACACACACACACAGGGTGTAGGTGGTATGAGAGCTCAGATGCGGAGTTGGCTCTGGGCTTAACACAATGGCCATGGCGGTTCCCTCCACACCCTTTGCAGCTCCAAAGAGGTAGCCTGGAGTCAGCACTGAGGACATTCTGTAGCCATAGCCGGCCTTAGGCAGTGGGGGAGCACTGTGCCATAGGACTCAGCGGGTACCTCAGCCAAACATGCAAGCTCAGCCTCCATACCCTCCTCACTGCCTGCACAGCTGCCCTACAAAGGCCTGTCACAATAAGAATCATGTGAGCATCTCAATCGGGCACAAAACCCACTCTCTTCAGAAATCATGAGCCATTCTCCTCCCTGAATGGACCAAGATTGTGCATTGTTCCCACTGAAGTGAGGCAGAGAAAGGGATGAATAAAGAGGGCTGACTCAGAAATTGCTGTGAAGACAAATGTTCATGTCTGGAGCACACAGCAGCTAAGAGTGTGCTCCCTTCTTAAGGTTTACTATTTTCACATATGTGTGTTTGCCCGGATGTGGGCATGTAAATGTGAGCATCACTGGAGGCCAGGAGAGGGCATTGGGTCCACTGAAAGCAGAGTTACAGGCAGCTTGGGGCCACCAAATGTGGGTGTTGGGAACATAACCCAGGTCCTCTGGAAGAGCAGCAAGTACTCTTAACCAATGAGAGTCTCTCTAGCTTCATGTCCTTGATGACAAGATAGAATCCTTATTAGGGTCACAACCAGGGTTTTCAGGTTCTTGGAGTGACTCCAACATCTCTGACCACCCCAGCCTGTTGACATCTTTGAAGGGTTGTTCATAAGCAGTACAGTGTCAGTCTCTCCCAGAAAGGCAGTTCTCCACACTTCAACCAATACCTGAGCCATACATAGCACTACTGATGAATCAAATCCTGTTTTCAAATGGCACAAATTGGTCTTTCCCCTGTAGCACTGAAATGGTTTTGGGGAGTGCTGGGTTCTTGCCCCCTACCTGGCAGAGTCTCTAAGATCTTAACCAGGACCACATGGTTTGAATGTCTGGAGGTGGCAGTGATCTCTGTCTGGCTGATTAACTACCACCAGAGATGACAGAATGGTGTCAGTTAGTCTCAGAGTTAAATCCTCCTTCTAGCAGGTGTCCTCCAAAAATGCCCTGCCATTGGGCCACTTCCTGTTAACATCTTTGAAGGGTTGTTCATAAGCAGTACAGTGTCTGTCCCTCCCAGAAAGGCAGTTCTCCACACTTCAACCAATACCTGAGCCATACGTAGCACTACTGATGAATCAAATCCTGTTTTCAAATGGCACAAATTGGTCTTTCCCCTGTAGCACTGAAATGGTTTTGGGGAGTGCTGGGTTCTTGCCCCCTACCTGGCAGAGTCTCTAAGATCTTAACCAGGACCACATGGTTTGAATGTCTGGAGGTGGCAGTGATCTCTGTCTGGCTGATTAACTACCACCAGAGATGACAGAATGGTGTCAGTTAGTCTCAGAGTTAAATCCTCCTTCTAGCAGGTGTCCTCCAAAAATGCCCTGCCATTGGGCCACTGGGGTGCACAGACTGTAGTCCTTATTTCATGTTGGTTTCTCTAATCAAAGCTGATGTTCCATGGGACTATCCAGGGCTTTCTCCTCTGGCTATGACCCTAAAGGTTTTCCAATTACAGTAATTTCTATAGTGTCCTCAAGGGATTAGGACCTTGGGGATGTCCCACTGACCTTAATATTTGTGACATTTTTCAGTAGACCCCTCGGTATATTTTAAGCAGGGAGCTCTGCTCTGCCCGGCCCCCCTAAACAGACATGTAACATCACTGTCTAAGAGTTCCGGGGGTTGTGCAGACCTGACCTCAGCCAATTGCATGAAATGCTTAGCGCACTGTGGCAGACACTTTTGTCTATGGACAGACCCAGCGTTCTTCCACGGTTTCTGCTTCAGTTCCTTCCTCCGTGTTCCTGTCTTGAGTTCTGGCCTGGCTTCCTTCAGTGATGGACTGTACAAGTAAGCTAAAACACCTCAGTCCCCCACAAAGTTGCTTTTGGTCATAGTGTTTTATCAAGGCAACAGAAAGTAAACCAGGACACCATTAAAGCTTCTGGGTGTCGACAGTGAAACCATGAGGAAAGCCCTCAAGGATGCCATGCACAACTCTGCAGATGCCCAATGTGAGACACGGTGTCATGCACACTTGACAGAATTTCCTTACCAGGGGGGACTCATCTTGCTCACTTCAGGAGTATTGCAGCCTAATAATTGATTCAGAAGTTTGCTTTCTGCCTCCCACCAAAAAGACTGTAGCTAAAAAATAATAATAAAATTCATAAACATCACATAAGATCTACACGAATCACTCCAGAGTCAACCCACTTCCTGTCTTTCTCCCTTGATACTGTTGGAGAGCCCAGGAACACTGGTGACCCACTCAGGAAGAGGATGGCTTGGGAATGTGGTTTGTATGAAACATGGGCTATTTTTCTGGGCTTCGTGTCCTGTGTACACGCCCATTACCCACAGCCATCCGGTGGGAGTCTCTGACAACTGTAACAGGTACTATCGGTTCAAAGAGTATTGGGAATCGTGACAGAAACTTTCCAAAGCTCTGACACCAGACAGGAAAGAGCTGATAGCAGCTTTCCCGGAGGTTTACCAGACTTTTCCAGCTCTTACCTAACCTTGCCATGACCCTGACCACCGGCAGGCTTGAGAAGTTGACAACTTTTTCAGACCTCCAACAAAATGGAGCCAGGCGGCCATCGCCACTAAAGGGAGGCCTGGCTTGACTTCCTGGTGTCACGGGAGAAAGAGGTGAGTCAGAGCTGTGGTTAAATCTGGAAACAATCAAAGAGCAGACTGATACATGGAAGGGAGAGGGCAGTGGAGGGATGACAGGCAGCTGACAAACAGTGACTCTTTGGGGCATTTTATTATATACGTGCTGCTTGCTGGACTTGTGAAAATCTTTGATTCTTTTACATTTAATTTAAATCTTTAAGTACTTCCCAATTTAGAATTTGTGATTCTGTCTTATTTGGGAGGACCTCATGTTGACCACTGTGATCTGTGTCCCCCACCACCATCAGAGTCTTTCTGATGCCCCAAACCTGGGTACCTGGCATCTGCTATCCCCTTGGGGCCCCAGTGCCCACTTATCACAAGGGACTGGGACTGTCAGCTTTGGAGACAAGGGGTGTTGCCCAGGGCACTCACTGCCCTGAGAGGGCAGGGTTGCTTCTCTGAGACTCATCGTGTAGGAAGGCCTCAGGTATTGCTTACCATTTTCCCCCTTAGCTAATGTCTGGGGCTCTTCCCAAAACCAGGTAAGACTTTAGAGGAACCTGCCCCGCCTATTATGTGGACCCAAAAAATAACCATTTCCCTCCTCCAGCATCCTAAGCATCTTTGTGAAGAGCTGAGATGATTTTCCCAGATGAGTATCCAATACCAGCCTTAGTGTTCTGTGAGTAAAGTGGGAAAGTGACTGTCCTTCCTTGTTGGGTTATAAGGCATTGACGATCAAATTTGTATAACACTTCGATCACTGCATCCAGAGCTCAGTGTGTGCTCACAGCTTTTGGTGGCCGCTCATCAGTAGACCTAATACTCTACTGATGTCACCCAAATCATGGACAGAAGCATTTTTACAGTACAGGGAAAGTGACAGGGGCTGCAGAAAGCCATGCTGTCCCTCACAAGAGCATCCAGCCCTGTTCAGTGCCCTCATTAATCCCTTCTGATCCTGGGTGATCCCTCAGCTTACACTCCAGAGGACACCACAAGAAATTATTCCAAAAAGCAGTGCATCCACCCAGAAATACTGTTTCTGCAGGAGGCCTTGACTCTGCAACTCCAATTTCTCTGTCAAAACAAGGAAATGAAACTAAGCTCACATGATGGGCCCTCACTGAACCCTGGCTGCCTGCAATGATCACCTTCTCTCTCAGGGGGTTTATAAACCATCAACTTGAATGTCATTTCTAACCCTGCTGTTAGCTCTGAGGCTGGGGACTTGCTGGCTTCCTCCTTTTATAGAAAACATTATGTCAGAATTCTCCCACAAACCGCAAGCTTTCCAGAAATAGCTACCATTGGAGGTGAAGTCGTCTAAAGTGGGGCCAGCCCTACCTAGCGGTGGCCTCCATCCTAATTATCCGAACAGTTTCCCAGTTGTTCAAAATAGCATGCTGTCTCCACCTATATGTCAGAGCTGAGGGAAGAGAGTTTCTCATAATAGTGATTAAAAATATTCTTGGATTTGGCTTTGGGAGTTTTTTTTTTTTTTAACTTAATTACCCTTGGTTCCCTGAGAAGGTAGATTTGGACCTGGATAAGTCAAGGGCCCTGTCGAGTTCTTAGCTTCATCATTCTCATGGCACTGTTCTGGCTGCCACCAAATTCAATCCAGAGCACACAGAGCTGGGTCCTGAAGGAGAAGACATAGTAACAATGGCTGGTGTGGACCATGTGGGCATGTGAGCTTCCAACCCTGGGGAAATAGAATAAACCCACAAGCAACATCTATGGAAAAGAGCTGACATTTCATCTGCCCTGCACCCTTCTTTTCTTCTTCACACAAGAGCACATTGGTTTCTCCTAGGAAACACCATGCCTCTACTCACAGGCAAGCTAGGTCATGTGAGGTTGGCCCTACTTTGAGGGGGGGGAGCCCTGCACTAGGACAGGCAGTGAGAAGTCACAACTCTGATCAATGAACCCCCATGATGGACTAAGATGTGAAGCAATGATGCACCCCAGCCAGCCACCCTTCTGAAGCACACATTGGGACTGCTGGAAAAGACCCCGGATCTCTCATCATTGGGAGACTGAGAACAAAGCCCAAACAAAAGTGGGGGCTAGAGCTGAGCATCTTACCTTTGGCTGGCTAGCTGCAGCCAGTCTAATGATGCCCCTCAGCCAGCCATCCTTCTGAAGCACACATTGGGACGCTGGAAAAGACCCCGGACCTCTCATCATTGGGAGACTGAGAACAAAGCCCAAACAAAAGCGGGGGCTAGAGCTGAGCATCTTACCTTTGGCTGGCTAGCTGCAGCCAGTCCCTTCCAACACCAGCTTTGGTCCTCACTGGAACATCCAGTCATTTGGTGTAAATGACAGTAACATTTCTTTCAGTGGAATGAGAAGACTGTCACCTGTCACCAGGTTATCCACAAAGAGCCAGAGTCAAGGGTCTTGTGGTGGTTACCGGTGACAGTCACTATAAAGCTCCTCCATTCCTTTCCAGGCACCTTAGAGTCCCAATGAGGAAGTTAGCTGCTGCCCTACCACATGCCATGACAAATGAGATGGAGTCAGAAGATGCACATGTCACTTCCATGGAGAAACAGAGAGTCAGATGCTTTTTCTCTTTGGGGGGTCCTGCCACCCAGCACCCAAATGAATCACACACAGAGGCTCATTCTTACTTATGAATGTCCGCTCTTAGCTTGGCTTATTTCTTGCCAGCTTTACTTAACTTTAATTATCCTGTCTACCTTTTGCCTCTGGGCTTTTCCTGTTCTCTTACTTTTGTAAATCTTACTGAAACCTAAGATCAGATGAGCTTCTTGGGCAAGTCTTTCTACTGCCTTACCCACTATGGAAATATGGAGAAAAAGCCTCCCTTTACCTGGCCCATGAAAGAGGATGACTTCATGCCCTAACCAGGCAACTGTGGAGGTGGGAGAAAAATGACAGAGCAAAGATCAAGTTTTTGGCTCACTGGTGTGACATGCTGGGTTTGTTTGTTGCTATAGCATAGTTTACTGGGTCTGGTCAATACAAATATTCATCAAGAACATCAATAAAAATGTAGGCAGATAGCCGGGCATTGGTGGCACATGCCTTTGATCCCAGCACTCGGGAGGCAGAGGCAGTTGGATCTCTGTGAATTAGAGACCAGCCTCATCTACAAGAGCTAGTTCCAGGACAGCCTCCAAAGCCACAGAGAACCCCTGTCTCGAAAAAAAAATGTAGGCAGATATCAGGCAAGGTGATCTTCTTCCATGTTGTCTCTGGACAAGCTTTTCTGGAACCTCCATGTGAGGGAGAAATGGTTAGCAGGGTCTTGATGGATGGATTCCCAAAGGCTATGAGGCAAGGGATATGAGCATACTGCTGAAACACAGACAAAGGGAAGCACAGAAGTAGAGAGTTCTATCTGTTTATATCTGGGACTTGTAGGGAGATATGTGAGCAGAACTTCAGCTAAAGAAGATGAGAGAAATGGAAATCGAAAAAAATACAAGAATGATCATAGCTAAAAGACAGAAATGAATGGACTGATGTAACCTATGCTCTGCATGCAGCTGTCTAGATGGGTTCATGGGTCAGAGCCCCGGCTTTCTCTCTACCATGGGCTGTGCTGGAGACCCGAGTTTACTCAGGAGAATGTGTGAGGAAGACTAATCTCAAGGGTGTGGTCACTGAGACTGGATGCTATTAGGCTTGTCCAGTAGGGTGATGTGAGGTCCTGGCTGGACATGAGGATTCCTGGGACCATCATTTTTCACAATTCTGTGTTCTTTTGCTTGTGGATTTGGAAATTGCTTGTCATTGTAGTTGGTTGTTAGATAACTTATTTACTACATTACCTTTTCCGTAAGACAGGGCTTCAGATGTAGTCAATCTGGTCACTGTGGCTCCAGTTCTTTCCAGAGGTCACAGGGAAGGTGTGACTGGGGTGGGTTATAGTCCTCTATTTAAAAGCTCAATTGAGGCTAAGGATCCATTGTCAAGACAGCCCGGTTGCATTACTGCTAGGGGAAAAAAAACTCTATTCATCACCACATGACCTCTCCATAGAGCTGTTTGAGCAACCTTACAACATGGCAGATGGCTGGTTCCTCGAAGAATCAGTGGTTCTGTTCCCCATGGGAGGTTGTATAATGTCTTTTAGCCTTAGGATCTAATCCAAAATTTTAGACCTCGTATCTAAGAAGTCACATGCCCTCGTTTCTGGTGTCATCTCTTGTTAGGACATGGGCAGAAAGAAGGGAAACTAGGGGTGAGAAAAGGGCACAAGGATGTGTAAAGCAGATCAGTGGCAGATGGGTTCATTACGGGTAATGACATCAGCAGACCTGCAGATGCTGGTGGGGATCCCCAAAGAAGAGACGGTGAATCTCGAACTCCAGAGGTAAAAAGAATTTTGTCATATTCTAGTGACCGAGAGAGAGTGAGGGGCGGGACTGGAACAGATGTAAGAGACAGCAATGTCTGCCTGGGGCCAGTGTGATGGGTGTCTAGAGACAAATCCTTCTGGCTACTATGTGGATAACTGGTTGGAGTCCCAAAGGCTATGAGGCAAGTGATATGAGCATACTGCTGAAACACAGACAAAGGGAAGCACAGAAATAGAGAGTTTTATCTGTTTATATCTGGGACTTATAGGGAGATATGTGAGCAGAACTTCAGCAAAAGAAGATGAGAGAAATGGAAATTGAAAAAAATACAAGAATGATCATAGCTAAAAGACAGAAATGAATGGACTGATGTAACCTATGCTCAGCATGCAGCTGTCTAGATGGGTTCATGGGTCAGAGCCCGGGCTTTCTCTCTACCATGGGCTGTGCTGGAGACCCGTGGTTACTCAGGAGAATGTGTGAGGAAGACTAATCTCAAGGGTGTGGTCACTGAGACTGGATGCTATTAGGCTTGTCCAGTAGGGTGATGTGAGGTCCTGGCTGGACATGAGGATTCCTGGGACCATCAGTTTGCACAATACTGTGTTCTTTTGCTTGTGGATTTGGAAATTGCTTGTCATTGTAGCTGGTTGTTAAATAACTTATTTACTACATTACCTTTTCCGTAAGACAGGAATTCAGATGTAGTCGATCTGGTCACTGTGGCTCCAGTGCTTTCCAGAGGTCACAGGGAAGGTGTGACTGGGGTGGGTTATAGTCCTCTATTTAAAAGCTCAATTGAGGCTAAGGATCCATTGTCAAGACAGCCCAGTTGCATGACTGCTAGGGGAAAAAAAACTCTATTCATCACCACATGACCTCTCCATAGAGCTGTTTGAGCAACCTTACAACATGGCAGATGGCTGGTTCCTCGAAGAGCCGGTGGTTCTGAACACCAAGGGAGGTTGTATAATGTCTTTTAGCCTTAGGATCTAATCCAAAATTTTAGACCTCGTATCTAAGAAGTCACATGCCCTCGTTTCTGGTGTCATCTCTTGTTAGGACATGGGCAGAAAGAAGGGAAACTAGGGGTGAGAAAAGGGCACAAGGATGTGTAAAATAGATCAGTGGCAGATGGGTTCATTACGGGTAATGACATCGGCAGACCTGCAGATGCTGGTGGGGGATCCCCAAAGAAGAGACGGTGAATCTTGAGCTCCAGAGGTAAAAAGAATTTTGGCATATTCTAGTGACCGAGAGAGAGTGAGGGGCGGGGCTGGAACAAATGTAAGGGACAGCAATGTCTGCCTGGGGACAGTGTGATGGGTGTCTAGAGACAAATCCTTCTGGCTACTATGTGGATAATGACCAAGTGGTCTAAGTGGACACTGGGAGGGGGTTCAGGAAACTTCTAAAGAGCACAGGTGAAAGTGGAGACATGGGATGAGGTGGGAGCAGCAGAAAGAACAGCATACAGCCTGGAGAATGAGATATTCTACTCCAGGCTCTCAGCAATTCCACCCATAGTTTGTTTCCCCAGGGAAAATTTGACAGTAGTTTCCACCAAGCAGTTACAACTGTTTGGATAGTTCACTTTATTACATGTTTCTGTAAACAATGACAGTGACAACGGAAACCCTCTATTCTCTGTGTATGGGACATTGCAACAGTTTAGGACATAAGTGTCCGGTGAAGGTGTGGATGGACATTGCATGGAAATACGTCCCACTGTCTAGGCCTCTTAGCTGAACCACAGTTCTGATGTGAGCCTCAGAATGATAGGGCCAAGGGATTTGTCACCAATACCTGTGGCCAAACATCCACAGATGCAGACTGTGTAGCTGGTGGCGTGATTCACAGAAACTTCCCAATACTTTTAAAATTACATCATTTCAAAACCGTCACAGAGGGCGCATGCACTGATTTTTGAAGCTTGTAAATATTTCAGCTCTGTCTGGCAATAGTTTTAACTCCTGAGCAGGGGCTTTAGAAAGACTCTGAATGCATTCTGTCTAAACCAAGATATAGTAGTACCCAGAATCTAAAAGCCACATGGATTCTGAGAAACAATTTCTTTGGAGTCCCCAGAAAATGATGAAATAAATAACACAGCAGACGTCTGAAATCAGAGAAACATAGATGTCCCATAAACAGCTCCTTCCACTGAGCATTCTTGCGCCAACCAGTATAGTTCATGTTTGCTTTAACACAAAAACTAATAAAAACTCCATTCCTCCATGAACTCCAGGATGGCTCAGCTTTCTTAAAATCCTCGTAAGACATGAATAAACTGGTCAGATGGAAAAAGCAGATGTGGGGAAACCCACGTCACCTCTTCCTCATAAAGCAGCTTGCTCAGTAGCTCCCAGCCTCATCTCAGCCTGAATGGACAGCAGGATCTCTCATCCCACTGAAAGCAGCTCCTGGGTGTGTCTGTCCAAAGAGCATCAGATCAGAGGATGCCTGTGGGCAGTACCCAGGCTCATCAGATGCTGGGATCACTGCTCTGGCTAATTGGATTGGCTGGTTAGTCTGGAACTTGCTCTCTGGCATCCTCCAAGTCACCCACCATCTCCTCCTCATCTGGGAACTTACCTCAGCCCAGCTGTGGGCCCACAGCCTTTATGTTTTGTGTTCTCATTTGGTTTTGCACATTAGCCACAGAGCGTCCTGGAATCTCAGGAAAGAAAGCAAACCGAGCAAGGCTACATGAGCTGAGCAGTGCTATGTGATGGGGGTGGAACTCTCCCGAGAGACCCGGACATTTTCATCTTGGTTAAGGCTTTTTTATTTTTTCACAGAATCTCAGGTCATCTCAACCCACTCTTCCACCCTTTGCAGTATTGGAGGAGGGAGTTACCCATCTGATTTTTAGGTAAGAGGACACTGTCACCCAAGATGAGGGTTATAGATTTTCCTGGGAAATGGTGGATCAAACCCCTCGAACTTGGAGTCGGTCAATGGCAGAGTTCAAGCTGCTTACCAGGACCTCAAAGGAGTTGAAGATACAGGATGGAGGTGGAAAGAGAAGTCAGGCAGAAGGACAGGTAGACCATGCTGAGGGAAAATATGTTGGCAACCATGAGTCGGGTTAAGGGAACAGGAATGGCAACAAGGGGGAAATCGGGAATCAAATGCAAGGAATTTTCTAGAAATGATACGACTTTCTAGAAGCAACGGTTTTCAGGAAGGGATGGGGGACTCTGGGAAGCAGTCAAATGCTAGTGAGAAGGAGGGGGAAGGAAGGGAGAAGAGGCAAAGGGGGGGGAGATTACCTTTACTGGCTGAGCCAACTCACTACCCCACAGAAACTGGTTTTTCATTAACATAATACACATAGAACAGAGAGCATCACTTTCACATTCTAAATGATAAAGCCAACATTAAATTTCCACATCGCATCATGTTAAAGAGCCAAGTACTAGGAGATGCTCTACACTCCAGTGTGTGGGAGCATGCTGTGTGCACACAGATGCTTGAAAATGATGTACCGCCAATGAGGCAGGGGTCACAGACGTCTGTTGACATGAGGGGCGCTTGCCCATTTTGTTTTCCAAAGCTAGGCTCCAGGGCCTTGTGGTGATTGAACCCCGATGGAGCCTGAGGTTAGGAAAGGAGTTTCAGCAGAAGTTTGTTCATCCCTCAGAGGGCAGGGAAGACAGATGTAGGCCTCAGCTCACACACAGTCTCGGCAGGGAGCAGATGTGACAGACACGGTGCGAGCTTCCAGTTATGGCAGCAGCCTACTGAAGCCACAGGAAACTCATCATGAAGTACTTTCTCACTCCTGTCTGGTCCTTTGATATTCACCAGAGGTGCCTACCAATGATGTGTGAAGAGTAACAAGAGAGAAAAATGAAGAAATGGCCTGCATCAAGATAAAGAATTCTTTGTCACCAGTCACAATGAATGCAGTGAGAAGACCAGTGGTGGCAGAGGGCAATATTCACATGTTCATATCTGGTGAGGGTTTAATATCAAGTCTGCATTAAGTGTGCCTGTAACTAAACGACATTAAAGACACCACTTCCCTTTATTAAATGGGCAAAGGGCTTATGCAGACATTTCTCTAGAGATCTACAGTTGGTCAATAAGTTGGTCAGGAAGGAATGCTTGCCAATACTTCTTAGGCAATGACAAGTCCAAATGACAGGGAGATGTCACCTCACAGCCATGTGAATGGCCACTATTAGAAACTGGAGACTAATGAGTGTGGGCGGGATGTGGGGCCTGGTGATAATTCCAGTGATAGAGTCGCTGGGGAAGACACAAAGACTGGGCTTCAAGGCATTCAACAGAGGATTGCCACGCTATCTAGCAAGCCCACTTGAGGGTACAGACTCAAAAGAAGTGCAAGCAGGGACTTGAAGAGCCATTGTGTGCATACAGTCACAGCAGCATTGTTCCCAAAGGCTAAATACAAAAGCAATAGAAGTGGCCATTAGTAGATTAATGGGAAATCAAAATGTGGTATATCTATACAGTGGAATATTATTCAGTTTTAAAAAGGAACAAATTCTCATACATTGTGACACAGGTGAACCTTGATGACATTACGCTGAGAGAAATGAGCCAGATGTAAAACTCAAATAGTATTATGATCCCTAGATTCCTAGAGTTGTCAGATTCATAGAAACAAGACGTAGAATGATAGTTTCCAGGAATAGTAGGAGGGGCAAAGCCAAAGTGTCATCATTTAATGGGGACAGAATTTCAGTTTGGGAAGATAATAAAAAACTGGAAATGGATGTTGTTGAAAAAACCCATGAAAACAGTCATGATGATTGCAAGGGACAGAACACAGCACTTCATCTTGCCCCTCCCTTCTCCGGGCTCTCACAGTCTTCCCACACCTTCTTCCATGATATTCCAGAGGGTGATAGGGATTTTCCATTCAAGGCAGAGCACTCTGCAGTCCCTAGCCTCAAAATATTGGTGCATTGTAAGCCTCTGCTTCAACCATTGTTCACTGTTAAAAGTTGTTTCTCTGGCTAAAGCTGAGAGCTGTAGCACCGTGTGAGTATGAGAGAGAGACACACACACACACACACACAGAGAGAGAGAGAGAGAGAGCTGTGAGTATGAGAGAGAGACACACACACACAGAGAGAGAGAGAGAGAGAGAGAGAGAGAGAGGAATCATTGTAAAGAGGGGATATGTTAATGAAGGAAGAGCTATGATCACAGTGTTATATAAAATTAAGATACTGTCAAAACTGTTTATGATAATATGTTTAATATGGCTGTATTTCATCAAAGACATTTAAAACATTGCCCAGCATCTTCTCTGCCCTGTCATCTGCTTTCAAGGCACAGGCCTCAGGGTCAATACAGAAAGGTATTCTTAGGGAACAGCAGATGTGACATAGTAACCCTAAGAAAGAGGAATGTGTGTAATATACAGAGGGAACCACAGAGCAGGAACCACCATACTGTGGAGGGAAATGTACACAACACTAGCCACTGTGGAAGTCAGGGTGGAAGGTTCTCAAAAAGCTAACAGTGGACATTCCACATGATCCTGCTACACCACTCCTGGTATTTACCCAAAAGACTCCAAGTCAGTACATCACAGAGACCCTTTTATTGCAGACCTCTTCACAGGTGCTGAGTCATGGGCCCAACCTATGTATCTAACAACAAAGGAACAGCCAGGGAAAATATGGAAATGGATACTATACCTGAGACAGCCATAAATGAATTGTCAGTCTCAGAAAAATTAGTATTATGATATCTCTCATGTGTGGGTCCTAGATTTTATACAGATACATAAAAACATGTATGCTAACATGAAAGCAGAAGTAGCACCACCAGGGGTTTATAGGGACTAATGTTGGGTAGGAGAGGAGAGAAGGCAGGAAGCAGGGGCTGTGTGTTTGTACTCAACACACAATAGATACACACAAAAATCAACTAATTAATTAAAGAAGAAAAACATGGCCCAGCATCCTCCACAGAGGGAGGAATAGCACTCAACCCTTTAGCAAGTTGAGTGGGTGACAACTCCATGAGAACCACTGGGCTTATTCTCTCATGACTTCCGTGACTGCAAGGACAGCACACAGACCTGGGAATGCAGTATTCTTGTGTGTCTGTGACCAGCTCCCTCCTAGTGACTCACCTCACAGAGGTTTCCCAGGCTCTTAGGAGAACAATCATTAGGCTTTTCTAAGAGCCAACACTTGGGGGTTGACCAGATGACCAATATAGCAGTGACTGCAAAGTCATTGTGACTGCCAATCATTTATCTAGGACTTTTGATAGACTGTGTAGAATGACTGTTGCTGCTCTTGGCCACCCTCTGATGGCTTTAATGTTGGGAGGAAACCTTGAGACCACTGATGACCAGGAATGCATCTGAGGGGCTTCACCCAAGGGTGTTCCAGAGGACAAGTTCCTCAGTTTAAGCCCCCTTGGCTCGATGTTTTCACCCTCAGATGCAGAAAGCAGTATGTGGCTTGCCAGTGACATCCAAATATGTCTTCAAAAGGAAAAGAGATGTCAAATTTCTGCAAATTTGACAAGCTGTCTTCTACTGTTGGGAGCAGAGACCCTTCTAGAATTCCCCACCTGAAGGGTCCCATTCTAAGAAGAAGCAAAAGTCTTCCTTTGCATTTTCATCTCCATTGTCTGGCCTGGTTAAAGTGAGCATGCATTGCTTCAGAAACCAGGGAGAAAAGAGTACACACTCTGAAGGTGACAACAGCAAGAGCTGGCTGCAGACACAGGGTGTGAACATTCCTGGGGCACATTCATTATAGTATCTATCAGAGAACATGGCTGGGGTGAATTTGAATATCAGATTTCATGTGAACAGATGTTAAAACTAACGAAATAATATTTGTCCTGGCAACTTCCCCAAGGATAAACATGATTACTGATTAAAAAGACAGAGTGTCAGACTGTAAGTGCTGGGTCTGCTGAAGCACAATGCCTGGTCAGAAGCCCTGGCTTCTCCCATATTCCCCTTGCAGGAGTCCATAGAGAAATGTTTATAACTCAGGGTTAAGGTTGGTACTCAGGAAGAAACCAAAAGCAGGCTAAACTCCAAGGAATGGCCCTTCCAAGGTTTATAGGTGAAGACTGACAAGATGGAAACACCTCTAGTTATTGTGGTTTGAATGTCCCCACCCAACCTAGGTTGAAACCTAATCCCTTCTGTGTGAGATTACAAGTAGGATCCAGTGGCATGTTTCAGAGTTGACTATGCAATAGTGGCTATGGCCATGGTTGATAGTCATTTTGACAACATCTGAAATCACCTCTAAACACATCAGTGAGGGATTATTTAGACTCTGGGCATGCTTAGCAGTGGGGGGCACCATTCCCTAGGCTTGGGTCCTAGAATGAATGGAAGGGAGAAAGGTGGCTAAGTGTCACCATTCATTGCTTTTTCCTGATAGGATGCAGTCACCAGATGTTCCAAGCTCCCTCTTAATTTCTCCAGTATGAATAACTGTATCTCAAGCTATAAAGCAATATAAATCCATCCTTAAATTGCCTTGGTTGGGGCATTTTAGCACAGCAAGTAAGTAAGACAGCCAAAGCTGAATAAGCCATTTATGGACTGGCTTGCCTATCCCCTCCCCCTCTGTCTGTATGTCTCTATCTATCTATCTCTCTGTCTCTCATTATAAAAGCTAGTTTGGCTATGTCTCACCACATGACTTGACCCACAATGGAGGCCTCAGCAGATGACAGCACCACACTCATGGACTTCCAGTCTCCAGAATCAACCCTTATTCTTTATACCTGATCTTCAAAAACAGAGAGAGGATTTACATCAGGCTTAGAACAACTGTTCTGTCCTAGGTGAATGCTGTGTGACTGACCTTAGCCTGTCTGCCCACCTGGATCTCACTGGGACTTCTTAGTGCTTGAGACTACAGGGCCCTGTCCCCAGCAGATGTCTGTGAGCCTGTAGAGGGGGAACTTGGAGAGTGTCCAAGAAGGACTTGAGAGCAGCATCATTCTTAGAAAGTTAACGTACGTTCCACCAAATGTCTGGAAAGGGAGCTTGGGAGACAGCTAAGTTTTGCCACAGAAGCACAAGGACCTGAGTTTAATGCCAGGCCTCATGTAAAAAACAAACAAACAAACAACTCAGCTATGGTGGTATGTTCCTTTTATCCCAGGGCTAGGGAGGCAGAGATGGGGATTCTTGGAGTTCACCAGCCAGTGATTCCCCAGGCCAGTGAAAGACGCTGTCCCAACAAACAAATGGGTGACATCTGAAGAGAATGCCACCTGAGACTGACCTCTGGCCTCTGCAGACAGCACATATTCATAAAGATCAGCACATAAGCACCACACATGTACACACACACACACACACACACACACACACACACACACAGGCACACACGGACACACACAGATGCACACACAAACAAAGGCACACACATGGACACACACACACAGAAAGAGTTCCTTCTATAACACTGAAAACAGGTTATAAGAGGATGCTAAAACGTTTGCAATCTTTCCTTAACACGTCAGAATTCCTCCACTCCACAGCTTCTTCTCTGTGGCTATTTTTTCTCCATCGCTAGGAATAGACATGAAATGTGCCCTTTGTCTAAAAATCTCTAGTTTAGAATTATAATGGATTTGTTTGTTTGATTGGTTAGAGGACATTTTTTGAGGTGCCAACATAACTGTCTCTATAATTGCTGTCAAAAGCTCATTGAATTCCAGGAACCCTCTGAACTTCAAACAGAAAAAAGAAATCCTTGCCTGAGAACATATAAGTTGCTACAGCTGTTCTCTCTAAAAATGCCTGTGACTTGTTTTTCCAGGAGAGGAAAGTGCAATATATTTTTTTTAAAAGCCTAGAACTCTCATAAAAATAGCTACTTTGTCAACATGGTTTTATTGGGTTATGAGACAAACAAAAGAGCCATTATTTCCATGTCTTAAGTGCTTGAATAATTAACATCCTTCGAAGTAGTGCCTGTTAAAACACAGGTATGAAGCACTGTGTTTCCAGAGACTTGATCACTCTGAGAAAATGATGGCCATGTGATGTTGACTGAAGGCAAGCAGAAGAAAAGCTGTCCGGGTGTTGTCCTTGCATGGTTCTAAATGCCAGTACAACCTACTAAACCTATGTTGTGCACCCAGTTATCAGTTACAGGGTAGTGTTGTTTATTTGCATCATTAGTCTTTTCCAAATCATCAAGGTAGGATGATGTTATTCTGATTTTCTAGAT